TTTGTATACTTTGTATTCATTTGTTTGTAATACAAGTTTACCAATCTGTATTGTAAGTAGTGATATTCTGTACGTGTAGTATGCTTTGTACTGTTTGTCGGTTTCTTTTGTAATGTTTGTAATGTTTGTTGGTTTCTTTTGTATTGTTTGTAATGTTTGTTATTTTTGTCCACATGTTTGTCATTTTTGTCAACCATGTTTGTAATATTTTTTGCATCACAAATCAATACATATAAAGTATACAAATTATTAGTACTTACAATACAAAGCGACGTGATTTGCAGCACAAATAAATACATATAAAGTATACAAATTAATATTACAAAACATACAAACTATACAAATCATACTGACATTTTGTACAAAAATACTAACAATACAAACTAGTGTTACAAAACATATAAACTATACAAATCACTGTTCTTCCTTCAGACGATGTACACGATGTCTCTCCACCGCCGTCGCCGCCGCTGCCGCCAACTCTCTCTACAGCCGTCGTTACCTCTCTCTCTCCATCACCGCGTCGCTTCTCTCTCCTCCATCATCGTCGAAGCTCTCTCCGCCATCGCCTCTCTCTCTCCATCGTCATCGAGATCTACTTTCTCTCTCTCCAATGCTACCGCCTCCGTCGCGACGCCTTTTCCTCTCTCCATCAACGCCGTCGAGATCTTCTTTCTCTCTCTATCATCGGCCCTTCTATCACCGTCGCCATTGACATCGCATCTCTCTCTCTCTCTCTCTCTCTCTCTCTCTCTCTGTGAACGTGAAAGAAGGAGACGGTTGGAGAGGAAGGAAAAAAATAAAATAAAACAAAACTGAAATTAAGAATTAATGAATTTATGATAATGCCAAAACTACCCTTTTCATTTAATAATAATTGAACACTTTATCTAGACCATTAGATTAATCCAAAGGCCGAGGGGGGCTTAGTCAAGTGACTAAGGACCCCCCCTTAGTCACCAGATCCGCACTCCTATATCGTATTAGCACCTAGGATTTGGTTGTGGGTGGCCGTCCGAACTCCGATTCGAGGGTGAAGTTTAACCATTCCTTAGTCAATAGGTCGAGAGGGTCACGTTGGTGGCTTGGATCATTTTCCTTTTCATCGACCTAGAAATTAAGAGGGTAGCTTTGACTACTTGTTAGACTTCTCTACGGCTTACACCCCCTCACCACACACGTCCATTCGTAGAAGCAAAGAGCGAAAGGGTAACTCAACTAAAAATTAAATAAAAATGCATCATAATCTTATTTCCAACCAAAATAGGATTTTACATTAGTCAATACTAAATTCATATAGACAAAAAAAAAAAAAAAAAAAGGCAGTGTTCGCACTGATACTATGTAAGCTGTAAGACCAGCTCCAATTCCGCTGTCTCCAACTCCACTTGTCATGTCACCGCAATGCAAAGTTCTATTCTCTATGCACTATGCTTGGTTTTTTTCTCGATTCTATCTCCGAGCTTTCTCCCAATGGAGCTACGTATAGTTGTCTTTCTAATCCAAGAAACTGGGTTTATCTCTTGCTGCAGAGAATTGAACTCCCTAAACTTAACTGGAACTCTCCCTTATGCCTATAGATTTTTTGCATCACGTTCGTAAATTATGATATACAGCTATTATTGATGTCGACGAATGTAAATTGGTATTTGGCTGGAAATATATTGTGTCCCGTATGAATCATTCTTAAGAAAATAGCTAAATTGGTTGCATAACGTCATTACAATAATCAATTAGTAGTCATATTCGGATCATTTGATAATTAACCATGAAATCTTGGAATTATAATGATCAATATAATTGGTTATTCTAAAATAAATATAATTTTTGCATCTTATATTTTTTTTTAACAAAAAAAGGTTATTTTTAGAATATCTGATTAACATAAAATATTGGTTAATAATAATTTTTTGACTAATAATAATTGTTATTTTTGATAAATAATTGGATACATAACGTACTTTTTAAAATGAAAATCACTAATATATGGCGACCATAAAATATTGATTGTGTAAGGCTGTGTGGGTTTTTTCATGCGTGGAAGGGTCTTAGGCAAGGGGATCCACTTTCCCCTTACCTTTTCACCATATCCATGGAAGTTTTCTCATGCTTGATACACAAGGCTGCTGTTGAGAATTAGATACCTACCATCCTAGGTGTAAGAAGCTAGAGATTACTCATCTGTGTTTTGCAGATAAATTGCTTGTTTTCTCCACTGGCTCTGTGAGAGGGGTGGCAGGTATTAGGCGTTTGTTCGATGCTTTCTATCTGGTCTCGGGTCTTAAGTGTAACCCTGAGAAAAGCCAGCTTTTCTGTGCTGGTATTTTAGAAGCAGAGCAACAATTTATATCAAGCAGTACTGGTTTCCCCTTCTCCAACCTGCCTCTGCGTTATCTGGGGGTCCCTTGCTTTCATGTAAGCTCAGTAGGGTGGATTGTAAAGTGCTGATTGATAGAATCACCTGTCGGATTAGAGGTTGGCAATCGAAGAAGCTCAATTATGCATGCCGGATCCAGCTTGTTTCGTTAGATGTTTCTAGTGTCCTGCAATTCCGGATGAACATATTTGTATTGCCAACTGGAGTCCTTAAGGATATAGAGAAGATATGCAATGATTTCTTGTGGGGAGTTGGAACTGATGGGAGCAGATCTAAGGGTCTTGCGTAATGGTCTTTTGGTGTCATGCTGAAATCTGAAGGGGGTCTGGGTATAAAAGATTTTTGTGCCTGGAATAAAGCATGTGTTATTAGGCACTTGTGGTCTGTTCTTTCTTGCAGTGGCTCTATCTGGTAGCCTGGGTCCAAATGTACAGACTTAAACCAAGACTGTATGGGAAGTTTCTTCTAATTCAGTGGGGTCTTGGGTCCGGAAGACAGTTTTAAAACTTCGAGACACTGCTAGAGGATTTATCACAGGCGCTGGCTCTTCTTTATGCAGGGATGGGTTTTCTATGACTCGTTACTCTGTTAAGCGAGTTTGGTTTAAGTATTCGTACCCCATAGACTCAGGTGAGCTGGTCAGATCTTGTTTGGGGTAAGCCTATAATACCCAAATATAGTGTTCTGTCATAGATTATAATTAAGAACAGAATCACCACTGTTGATAAGCTTATGTCATGGGTTATAATTAAGAACAGAATCACCACTGTCATGATTGTGCTAATATTTTGAAAATCAATATTTTTGGTTACGTACAGATGATTGCATTAGTTATGAAGAACATTTTTGGAACCAAATTTATTCATTTAAAATAATCATTTGGTCGGTAAAAGAATTGAGAATCGGTTGGTTATTATATTATTTGTGACCAATCATGTATTTCATCGTGACCATTTCAACAGATTGTTTTTCAAACCAATGATGTTAGTAGGCAAAATGATTATCTTGTGAATAATTCTTTTTTTTTTTTGTCACATAAAGGTGACCAGATCACAAATTTGGTAGAAAATGGTTTTTCTAACACGGCAAATGTGACCAAAGGTTAAAGCAAAATATTTTGGTCACGAAATAGCTTCCAACCAAAATGCAACATTTAGTTTCTATCACTGTTGGTCACGAAAGGCAATTTCTTTAGTAGTCTCCTTATTGCTCATTGTCCCTTTACTTTAGCCCATTGATTCTCACAAGTCTAATTGTTGTTTGTCGTCTCTCTTATAGGGTTCAGGGTTCCCTCGTCCTTGTCTATCTGTTGTTGCTTCAGCTTCACTTTCAGTTGCCGAAGCCGATCCGTTTTCTTAAAATGGGCGAGCACATGAAAACAAACAAACAACAATGATATAGTAACCATAGTTTTCGATCGGTTCCCCCAAGTATACAAAAAGACATATTATAGTTATCGTTGACATCAAGAGGGATTGGAAAACAGCCAACAATTTAATGATTCCAAAGTCCAGCCCTTTTGGCATTTCACTATCGTTGTATAGTCCTTTTTCTGGTAAATGGACAGTATATCGGAAGGCAAAAAGAAAAAATAAATAAATAAAAAGAACAGCATTGTTTATATATGTAGGACTTTCCTGCCCTGCAAATTCAAAGCAGAAAGCAAGCTGATGTATAATAACCAGAGAGAAGCAGCAGAGAGTAGGAGAGAAATGGGGAAAAAGGAGGAAGAGGAGGAGACTATCATTCAAGCATGTCCAATGAACGGCGGAGATGAAGCTTACAGCTATGCTCAATATTCTGCATACCAGGCAAGTCCCTCTCTTTACCATAACCATACACAGTCATGACTTTATTTATTTATTTATGTTCAGCAGCCATGTTTAGTTATGATCAATTATCCTTCTTTTGATTGGCCTCCCTATTAGTTTTCAACATATTTATCATCAAGTTATGTCATTTTGTGAGTTTTATATAATATTCAGTCTATTTATAATACGACATTTAAGATTATATCCACGAGATACAATTCGTCTACCACTATTCCCCCAACCCAATTCGTCATCACTATTGAGCTCTTCATAGCTTTCCAGCCCATATTCCCACATTATCCGCAAATTCCAGTCATGTGTTGACTTTGCAATAAAAAAAGATGTTAAGCTATCATTTGTCATAATGAGTTCTTGAGTAATTATATCTTACATTTTCACTTTTATTAACTAAATGCTTGTATATTTGATATGACAACAGATATGAAGACAATTGAGAGAGAGACTTGCAGGACTAAATGCAATTAATTGTAAAAATTTCAAATAAAATGATTTTTACATAAAAATGATTATTTTAATTGGTATATTGACTTCTTAATTAAGTTGGCGTTACTGTTATCTAGTGTTAAATGAGAATTTTCATGCAATAAACTAAGTGAAACACAAATTTAGGAATTGGATGAATGGTGAAATCGTTAACGATTTGTTTGGTAGGGTATACTGAACGTGATATTCTTAATAGTTTGGACTATAAATTTATTTTAGATACTTTTTCAAATACAAAAATACATTATAGATCATTATAAAATATTGATAATTATTTTTTTAATGCTTGACCTAACTTAACAAAATTCCTGGTTATGTTGACGAAGGAGCTTAAAAATTTTATAATGCAGAAAAACATTGTGGATACAGCAAAGCAAGCTATGCAAAGAGCCATCGAACACGAGCTGGACTTGAAGTCCTTATTCCCACTAAGCGCCACTTCTTCGGCCACTTTCCACATAGCTGATTTCGGGTGTTCCATCGGACCAACAACTTTCATGTCGGTACAGAACATCATGGAAGCGGTCAACCACAATAATAACCAAGCATCAACGACCAAACTACCACTAGAGTTCCAAGTCTCATTCAACGACCAAACCAACAATGACTTCAACACCCTCTTCCGCTCTCTACCCGCCCACCGCCAAGACAACTACTTCGCCGCCGGCGTCCCAGGAAGCTTCTACGGCCGCCTCTTCCCGACGTCCAGCCTCCATTTCGGGTCCATCTCGTCTTCCCTCCACTGGATCTCCAGGGTTCCTGGAGAACTAACGGCGGCCGGTCGTAGAGATTCCATCCAATGCACGGGACTCGATGAAGATGTCGCGAGGGCCTACTCGGGCCAGTTCACAAGAGACATGGAGGCTTTCTTTGACGCCAGAGCTGAAGAACTTGTGAGCGGTGGCTTGCTGGCGATTTCAGCGTTATGTTTGCCAGCCGGAGCGGTTCTGGCCCAGACCGGGCTGGGTATGATATTTGACCTGCTCGGCGCTTGCCTCGTTGACTTAGCTGAGTTGGTATGTCAAACTTTCACGGTCTTCTTTATGGATGAGCTTCAAACTTTCACACTGACATATTATATAATGATATTGTCAAATCCTGATGGGTTTAATTTAATTTATTAATTATTCCCTCCAGGATTTGAAAATCACTTTTCTTTTCTCCTTCTTTTTCCCCTCTAAATTTTGGATAGGGGCTCATCTCCGAAGAAAAGCTGAAGAGTTTCTATTTACCAATGTACTACCCTCAAGCTGAAGAGCTGGAAGCTTCCATAACGAAGAGAAGATGCTTCAGCATACGGAAGTTGGTGAAAATGGCTCCTCCCTCGCCGGAGAAGTCCCAAAAGCTGATTCAGACATCAGACTCGCAAATAAGAGCCGTCTCGGAGGCAATCATCAAGCAACACTTCAAAACTATCACTCCCCAGACTGTGGATTTGATCTTTCAGCGTCTGAAAGAGAAGTTGGCCGAGAATATGGATGCCATTACTAGCCCAACCACTTTGCACCATCTTGAAGTGTTCATCTTGGCAAAGCGTCTTTGACTTCTCCTTTGCCTTCCCGTTGTCCTTGGGCTCGCTTCCAGAGAGTTGTTCCTGGTTTTGTTTTCTCCCTTGTTTGTCTCTTACGTCAAATAATAAAAAGTAGGGAACTCCTACCATGCATTGAAGTTACTATAACTTGAACTTTTTGACCTGTTATGGCAGGTTTTACAGGTTGCATTACGTAAATCTAATGTTTATTACGTAACAATTACGTAATGCTTGTTAGTCTTACGTAACAGTTAAACTAGAAGCGTTACGGAAGGTTTCCGTAACGACTTATCATTTTACGTAACACTATGTCAATATTCATTACGTAAAAGCATCGTGTATTACAAAAGGCTTCTATAATGACAATTTACAACTATTACATAAAATACACGCACATTACGTAAAGGTTACGTAACGAAGGTTATCTCTTACGTAACAGTGAATTTGAAGTGTTACGTAAGACTTCCGTAATGACTTACCACATTACATAACTTGATAAATATTCATTACGTAAAAGGACCATCCATTACGTAAGGACACTACAAGAAGATTGATCTTTCATCACGGAATTTTTCCCATTGCTAAAGATTTAACAGTTGTCACGGGGAATAATTCCCGTAATTAATTGAGCTGGACAATCTTAATTTGTAATGGGTTATCAGCCCGTAATAATAGAACGAGACTTTCCCGTGACAAAATACTTTGACGGTAAACGAAATGCATTTCCCTCTCATTTTTTCGTTCACTCCAAAGATTGGGAAAAGCGGGAGTTTTTTTTTGCCAATGAAAAAAGGATGAGACCCAAAATTATTAAAAATTAAAACAAAAGAAAAGTGCATTTGGTTTCTCCTTCTGGCTTCCCAAAATCCCTAGCTCGAAATCAGATACTCCCCACCTCTTTGTTCCTTCCCCATCGCCAGCCTCCTTGTTCCTTGGCCATGGTCAGTGTTCCTTACCCCATCGACATCGTTCCTTCCCCCATCGCCCGCATCCCTTACTCCATCACCTTCGTTCCTTCTTCCATCGACAGTATTTCGTCCCCCATTGCAATCATTCCTTCCTTCCATTCAATCGTTCCTATCACCGGTAAAATGGAACACACCTTACTCATTTTGTGGAACGAGTGAAGTTCGAATCAGTCTGGAGGGGAAGGATTGAAAATGTTCCACCATTAAACCATATCGTGTCGACCTCTTTGTTCCTTCCCCGTCGCCGGTATTCGTGCTTCCTTCCCCTTCGCCGGCGTTCCTGCATTCCTTCCCCCATCGTCGACCTTCCTTGCCCAAACTCAATCGACTATCACCGGTAAAATGGAAGACACCTCACCCATCCTGTGGGCCGGGTGAAATCCAAATCAGTCACTAGGGGAAAGATTGAAAGCAAATCGAGCTCAATTTTGCAGCCCTTTGCCGATATAATGGAATTCCCCTCGGATGCAAGCAAATCGAGCTCCGGAAGTTGAGAACCCGAGAGTATAGACCACTAAGTTGTTGATCTCCAGGTATGTCGGCCTTCCTCTCCCCTATCCACCCTTTCCATTTGTACATTCTTCTAGAGAAGTAAAACCATGGTCATATTCTCCTTCGCTACTGACTCATTTTTTCTTTTCAGTTTGCTCGATCCCCTATTTGAGTTTTGCTTTTCTGTCTGCTGAAAAATCATCTTCTTGCCTCTATCGATTTAATCCAGCTGCTCATCATCACTTAAGAGACTCATCTTTACACGTAAGGTCTGCTTATTGACCTTATCCTTATGGCTAACTTTGATCAAAATATAACATGGTTGGTGTTGTGTTCCTGCTAATTAATCTTTGCATTTGTAGGGTTTTGGTTGCTGGTGGTGGGGAGAGAACGGGGACTCTTGGATTCGCGGTGACAAGTTAGGGTTTAGCTAGTATCTCAAGGGTATAAATATAAAAAGACTTTCACTTCTCTAACAGGGAAGGCTTTGTTATTTTGGATTGATATTCCCATGAGTTTTGCGGCAAGCACAAATGAATTATGCATTCTCTACTTTATGCTGAACTTTGATCATACAGCTTGCAGGGAAGACCTATCTAATTAGTTCACTTACTTTATCACTCCTTTCTTATTCCCCTCTTGCTATAGATTAGATTGTTCAATGGGTGAATGGTGGATTTGGGATTCTTGGCAGAATGATGTTTCCTCATGAGGAGCTAGTACTAGTAGCATATGTTCCTTTCAAATCCATTTTCATTGATGAGGCAAGCAAGGGATAGTTGGTGGAGGCGTACCAACTTTGTTTTGTTTATCATGATTTGCTTGTTGGGAAACTACTTTGTTTTCTGGAAGACTAATCACATTATTCTGGGTTTAAAGTTGTTTATTATCCAAATTGTAATCTTGAGTAGGGGCAATGGCCAATGGTACATGAATCAATTAGCGTGTCATCGGGCCACTTTTGATGCATGAGTTTTTACTCCATTCTCATTGATAATGATCTTATTATCAAGAGTACAAGATTCTACTTTGGGTTCCATCTTCCCACTGTTAACAATTGGGGGCTGCATTTTACCTCGTTCAAAAAACAAGAAAATTTGAACACTTTCAGTATCATCATCCTGTGCTATAAAGAATTAGTTTTGTATATCGAGAAATGTCTTGACATGGGTTCTGTTAGCGATGTTGGGCTGGATTGGGCTATGATTGTATTTGGTTGGTTTGTGATTGGCCCATTGTGATAGTAGCATGTACGTAGAATTGTGGTGGTAGAAACCGAACCCTAGCATGTGATTACGTGAGCTAGGGTTAGGCAATTATATATACATGTAAACAGTAAACTGACGATGTACCGACTCAAGGAAAACCTAATAAGATCATCAGCTCGGAGAGTGCTAGCTCTCCCGTGGACTAGTCCCGATCTCGGGGAAACCACGTAAACAGTGTGTCTTGTTTCCTTCTTTGTTTTCGTATTTGATCCTAGCTAACATGGTATCAGAGCCTTCGTCTCTGGATTCTGATAGGGTTTCGGTTCGATTGAACTCCAAAAACTATGCGTTATGGGAGTTCCAGTTCCGTATTTTCATTGAAGGCAAAGGCCTTCTTCCGTTTCTGGATGGTACGTCGGTGCGACCTCAAGTCCCGCCGGCGTCAGCTGAAGAACTCGCCCGGTGGGTTCAAACTGATGCTCGAGTTAAGTCCTATCTGTTGGGCACAATTGATCCAGTCATTAGTCTGGGTCTCCGTTTGCTTCGTTCGCCAAGAGATATTTGGGTTCATCTTGCCCAGACCTACACCACTGCTGATCCTGCTCGGCAGTTTGAGATCACGTTCGAGTTGGCTCGACTCGAGCAAGGAGATATGGATGTGACGTCGTACTATAATGCGGCGCAATTATTGTGGACCGAACAGGACTTGTTGACGGCCACGCTGTGCTCGGCCACTGCTTCGGCCGAGGTCATTCAAGATCGGCAGCGAACTCGCATGATGCAATTTCTCAGTCGGTTGAAGCCTGAGTTCGAGTCGGTTCGGGCTAATCTGTTGCAGCGGGAGAGTTTGAAGATGGATGGAATTCTGGCAATTTTGGTGCGAGAAGAAACGCGTCTCAGGACGCAAGCCCAATTGGACCTTCGCCCGGGAGCTGGAGAGGCGGTGTTTGCCGTCGCGGGATCGAAGGGAGCTGGGGGTTCTGGAAATAAAGGCCTGCTGCCTGCTGTTGGAGAAGAAGAGGCCTATGCTGTGTCCCGGCCTCAGTTTCGTCGTCGTATGTCGCAAATTGTTTGCCATCATTGTCGTCAAACCGGCCATTATCAAAAGTATTGCAAGCAACGCAATTTTTGCGTATATTGCAAGAAGAAGGGTCATATCATTAGCGATTGCCGACTCATACAGCCCCGATCATCTGATTCTCAAGTTGTCGCACAGCCTCAGCCGGCAGGAGGTGCCTATGCTGTTCGACCTGCTCCTGTTCACGCACAAGCTCCTCCACAAGGCCAATATATGAGTGCTGAGGCTATCGAGCAGCTTGTGAACTCCGCCCTTCAGCGCTCGTTACCTACTGCCATAACAAGTGCTTTTGCTACTCTCCATCAAGCTGGTAAGACTCTTCCTTGGCTTTTGGATTCGGCTTGTTTTAACCATATGACGGGCAATACTTGTTCTTTTACGAAATTACAGTCTGTTAAGTTTGGTTCCATACAAGTTGCCAATGGGCAGCGGCTACCAGTTGCAGGCATAGGTGATGTTGAGAAGCCTAATATGAATCTTGCTAATGCTTTATGTGTTCCAAATCTTGTGCCGAATTTGGTTTCTGTTGGTCAATTAACTGAGCAAAATTGTCGTGTTGTGTTCGATCCCTCTGGTTGTGTGGTTCAGGATCTGAAGACGGGGAGGCAGATCGGAAGGGGGAGTAAACAAGGACGAGTTTTTCAGCTCGAAGAATTGTCGGGTCAACCTTCATCACCTCGGTCCTCGTTTGGTCTTGAGTCTCGTGTTTTGTCAGCATTTTCTAGTTTACCCAATAATGAGTTTGAGTTGTGGCACTCTCGCTTAGGTCACCCTCATTCCAGTCGGCTTGTAACCATGTCTAAACAACAACTTTTTGGAAATAAGAAGGTTGATTTTTCTTCGGGGAATTTTCAGTGTACGAGTTGTGTCGAAGCTAAGTCTACTCGTAGTTCTTTTCCTTCTAGTACGACGGTGATTTCTGAACCCTTTCACATCGTTCACACCGATCTTTGGGGTCCATCCCCTACAGATTCCCGTCATGGTTACAAGTATTTTGCGTTATTTGTGGACCATGCTACTCGGTTCACGTGGGTGTATTTTCTCAGGTTAAAATCCGACCTTTTGTCAGTTGCCACTGATTTTTTAAAAATGATTCAAACTCAGTTTGGTAGGACAGTTCGTGTAGTTCGGTCAGATCCTGGGGGGGAATTCAGTTCTAATCCGCTAGCCAGTCTATTCCGCTCTCAGGGTATTTTAACTCAAAAATCGTGTCCCGGGGTGTCTCAACAGAACGGGCTTGTCGAACGTAAAAATCGTCATGTCGTA